GGTTTTTTTTAAACATTAAAGCAAGTGCTCTTAACCTACTTTTGTGTCCTGGACCCTTTGGACAATCTGGGGAAGCCTATGGACCTCTTCTCAGAATAATGTTTTTAAATGCATAAACTAAAATGCACAGGATTACAAAGAAAACCTATTATATTATCAAAATGTTTATTAAAAACAAACAGACAGATTCACAGACCTCAGGTTCAGAACTCCTGCATTAGGATGTACCTGGCTTGCTATGGAATACCATGTCTGTATATAAGCCTATGTTCTGTTCATTCATTCACTCATTTATTTATTAAATTTATTATTCACCCATTTATTAAATGCTTACTCTGTGCCAGGTGCTGTATTAGAAAATGGAGATACAAAGACAACAATAAAACAGTCCCTGCCCTCAAGAAGCTTACGTTCTGTAAGGTGAAATAACACCATGCATAAAAAGTTAAATACAAAATATATACAAAGTAAAGAAAAAGATGGGGAGTTAGGTGGCACAAAGGATAGGGCACTGGGCCTGGAGTCAGGAAGACTCATCTTCCTGAGTTCAAATCTGGCCTCAGACACTTACTGGCTGTGTCACCCTGGGCAAATCACTTAACCCTGTTCACTTCAGTTTCCTCATCTGTAAAATGAGCTGGAAAAGGAAATGGCAAACCACTTTAGTATCTTTGCCAAGAAAACCCCAAATGGGGTCACAGAGGCAGAAGAGACTGAAAAACGACCGAACAACAAAAAAAGAAAAAGTTATTTCTAGGGTAAGGGCACTAGCAACTGAAAGTGGGGTGGGAAATCCCAACAGGTTCCTTGTAGGATGCAGCGGTTGAACTGAGTTTTGAAGGAAATTAAACATTCTGTAAGGTGAGGTGGAGAGAATGCATTCTGGGCATTACAGATGCAAAGGCACAGAGTTGGGAGACTGAATGTTATTTATCTATGCAAGATGGAGGAGTAGGCCAATTTGGCTGGAAGGCAGAGGGCATAAGAGAGAGAGAGTGACTGGAATTTATCCAGTGCGGGTATTAACATGATCAGACCTGTGCTTGGGAAGATTAATCTGACAACTGTGTAAAGGTTGGATTGAAGTGGAGACAGACTTGGGTCAGGACACGAAACTTACCAAGGGATTGGCTATGAGGAGAGGAGAATGAGTTGAGGCTATTACCAAAACCTAAAATGTCCTTCCTCTCCCTTTTTGACTCTTCAGTTCTTAGGCACCCTTTAAAGTTGAAACCGCATGCCCCTTCTTTCAGGAAGCCCTCCCCCTCCTCCTAACCCAATGACCTTATCCTGTAATACTGACTACTGTGGTTATCTCAGTTGCTGTCACCCTTCTAGATTGCCTTCCTTGATACTAGTGACCATGATTTATCTGATCTTTGTGTCTCCTACAAGGCCTTAGCACAGGGGCTGGGTGAAGAAATCACTTCATGCATATTTGTTGAGTTGTACTATATTGTGCATGGTACTGGGGTCAAATTTTTGGTATTTCTTCAGATTCTTTGAGCATTTTTTTTTAAGTGAGTCTTACCTTTCTCTACCTCCGTCAAAGCTTCATTGCATCTGATTATTCCCCAGTGGGAGCCAAGCTGGAGAGTCAGCTAGTACAAGGATGGGAAGGGGGAGAATTATCCATCATCCCTTAACCATTAAGCCTGTGGCCCTTTGCAGCCTCAGAAGGGTCTCTGAAAGGACTAAGTAATGGAGGAGGGGAGATAAGGGCTGGTTCCATTCAATTAACAAGTATTTATGTATTAAGTACCTCCTGTGTGAGGAGCACTGTACTAGGAGCTGAAGAGAAGGAGTGAAGGGAATCCAAGAATCTTAGAGTTGTAGCAGACCTCAAGGTCCCAGCCTCAGCTTGACTAGGTCTAATAGAGAAGAACTGGTGAACTCTTAAGGCAAACCATTCTAGAGCCCCAGTTTCCACCTAGGGAAAATTCTGCTTGGGTGTGGGGCAGGTGCTGAGGGCTGTGCGGCTGTGTTCGTAGGCTCACAGATGTTGAGCTAGAAGGAATCTTAGAAGCCATCAGGTCCAACAGCCTCAGTTCTGACATCCTATGTTGTAAGGACAGAGAATTGTCGATTGAGAGGGCTGCTACTTTACTTAAAGAAGGGCAAACTGAAGACTAGAGAGCTTAAGTGAGTAATTTACTCAAGGTCTGGCAGATAGGAGGCAGAGCTGGGATTCAAAGCCAAGTCATCTGACTCTAAATCCTTTGTTTTTTCTGCTACTCTGTATTACCTCCCTGAAGGTGTATGGGGTGTTCCAGGAGGACTAGTACCTCTGCTGTGGGGCTTGCTGAGCCCTTTTCAGGGCTGCTTATCCAACCTTTGGGTTCCACCTTTCACCCAAGATGGTAGCTCCAAGAAGCTGTAGCATGTGCAGCCACACCTGGTAAACCATCTAGGCAGACAGGCTAAACCAGGTTGAAGATAACCAACAGACCTCAAACCCATTGGTGAGATAGGGGAATGTCCATCCCAACCATGTGAAGACTTCCCCTGACAGGATGGATGGCTGAAGCAGGCACTGTGAAGTGCTTAGAACTTGGTCAGACATCGAAGTCACCCATCACCTGACTTTTGTCCTGACTTTTTTTGTCCTGCTACTGGACTTCAGTGACTCAGGAACACAGAATGAGGCTGATGACTTTGTGCAACTCTGCCTCAACTAAATCCACTTCATAGGCAAATCAAGATGTCATCCCGTGATGTCACTGGTCCTTTTGGAAAATGAAGGACAAACAACAACAATTACCTCTCCACTCTAGCATTCTAGTTGCATGTTATAAGGTCCTTTCCAGAACAAACAGCATTTTTAGTTCCATTCAGCAAGTATATATGATATCTTTTATTTTTATATCATCTACATTTCTTTCTCTTTCCTCCTTCCCTCTAGCAGAAAGCAATCCCTTATAGAAAGAATATTCTAAAAGAGGAAGAAAGAAAAAAAAAGAGTTTCCACAAGACTAACCAATATATTAAAAAATAAGTCTGACTGTTCCACTCCATGGTTCTCCTCCACCCCCACCCCAGTTCTGCAAATAATGAGAAGAGGATGTTTTCTCTTCTCTTCTTTGGGACCAAGCTCGGTCATTATAATTTCGTAGTATTCAGTGTCGATTGTTTTGTTGATATTCTCATTTATATGGCTATAGTCATCATTACATATTGTTTTCCTGCCTCTCCTTACTTCACTTCCTATCAGTTCATATAAATCATTCCATGCTTCTCTGTTCATCATATTCATTGTTTTTTTAAAGCACAACTGCGTGCATGTACCATGACTTGTTTAGCCATTCCCCAATCAATAAGCATCTACTTTGTTTCCAGTTCTCTGGTACCTTGAAAAAATACAACATATGCCCAAATAAATATAATACAAGGCAAAAAAAATGATTTGAGCAAAAGAGAGGTATGAAGAAAATAAGAAAGTTTGAGGAAGGAAAAAACATTTTTTTTTAGCTGGGAGAAATCAAGGAAGGCTTCATGGAGTGGGGCACTTGAGCTAAACCTTGAAGAAAAAGAAAGATTTCAGTAGGTGGAGATGAGGAGAGAGCACAGTGTAGAAACAGGGCCAGCCTGTGTGAACAGATACAGATGGCCATCTGATGGCAAGATGAGCTCATAGAACATCTTGGAGGCGATGTAAAATCAGACTGGGGAGGTAAGTTGGAACCAAATGGCTTTGGAAGCAGAGGCCCTTAATGCAAATGCCATCTTTGCAATTTAATTACCCATATAACCTTCAGCATGGGTTCAGTTGTTATCTTTACAAAAGTGACTCCCAGACCTTTCTCTTTTTCTACCTATCTCTCTTTTCCTGTCTTCCTACCTATCTGTCTGTCCTTATCTATTTATCTGTCTGTGTATCTATCCATCTAGCCCTGTTATTCTGAGCTATAGTCTTGAATCAACAACTGCTCAAGTTATATAAGCATCTCAAATTTAATGACCAAAACAGAACTCATTATCTTTTACCAAAGTCACACCCCTCTGCCAGACTTCCCTATTTTTGTAAGGGTTTCACCATCCTCTCCATTTTGCAGGTCTGCAGTTTCAGGGTCATCCTCAATTCCTTACTCCAGGAGCACCAAGGTGGCACAGTGGATAGCGTGCTGGGACCAGACTTAGGCAGATCTGAGTTCACATTTCACCCCAGATACTTACTAGCTGTGTGACCTGGGGCAAGTCACTTAACCTCTGTCTGCCTCAGTTTCCTCATCTTTAAAATGGGGATAACAAGAGCACCTATCTCACAGAGTTGTTGTGAGGATCAAATGAGATAATATCTGTAAAGTTCTTAAAATAGTACCTGGCTCATAGGCACTTAATAAATACCTGGGAACTTTACCTGTCTTACTCTCCCTCACCTTGTGTATCCAGTCACTGTCCTCTCTCCACTACATCTCTTGTATCTGTCACCTCTCACATGGCTCATCCCCTTTCACTTGGGATATTGGAACAGCCTTTTGATTGATCACTCTCTCTCCGATCTGACCCATGCTCCACATGTTTGCCAAATGATATTCCTAAAGCAAAGGTCTGGTTCCTCTGCTCAGTGAGCTCTGGTGCCTCACTATCTCGTCTAGGACCAAATACAGACTTTCCTGGTTAGACATTTAAAACCTTTCATAGCCTGACTCCAACCTGGCTTTTTGAGTTTGTTATACTTATTATACTTCCCTTCAGGTACTCTGGAGATCAGCCAACCTGGCCTTTTCTGCCAGTCCTCACACATGACATTCCTGTGCCTTCACCCATCACAGGGAGCGTATCCCCGTGCCTGGAATGTGCTCCCTCCTCATCATTGCCACGTAGGATCTCTGGTGTCCCTGAAAGCACAGCTGAAATTCCACCTCTGGCAACTCCCTCCAACTTGCATGTGTCTCCTCTCCCACCATTCACCTGTATTTGCTTTGCTCTGTTGGTAATTGAGGGCATGGTACCGCCTTGGACAATCTAGGTGTTAATGGGAGTATTATTTATCTTGACAGGTGCAGATCTGATAGTCACCCAAAGGAACATCCCATGGGACAGCCCCTCTCTGCTCGGGTGTTTGCCTTGTGGTGCCTCTTCCTGCTGTGGGCAGGATGGCCCAGTAAGTTGTTAATGTTATTTAATCCAAGCCAACATATCTAGGTTCCTAGCACTATAACTAGAAATAACTTTAGAGACAGTTTCGTTTAACTCCCTCGTTTGCAAATTAAGAAACTGAAGTCCAGAGAACCTCATAGGATAATGGACCTAGAGCTGGAAGTGACTTTGGAACCATCTAGCCCAACCCCCCTCACTTTCCTGATAAAGGAACTGAGGCCCCAGAAGGTTAAGTGACTTGTCCAAGGTCCCACAGGTAATAAGTGTCTGAGGCAGGATTCAGAGCTAGGTCTTGCTTGCGCTAAGTTGAGCATGCAATCCTTTATACCACCTAACTGCCTCTGCAAAAAGAACAGTCCTACATGGGTTCATGGGCTACACCCAGATAATAAATGACAGAGGCATTTTAAGTGCCCACCTGTGTGAGGCACCATGGTGGGTGCTTCAACACAGTTGTTTCACAGACAGTAAAGTGTGGACCTGTGTTAAGAGATCCTACCCCCCCCCAAAAAAAAAGAAAAAAAGAATTCTTGTTTCATAGAATTCATATAGTTTGAGAGTTGGAATGGACCTCAGTGGCCATCTAATTCAACTCATACCTTATAGTTCCATTCTAACAGTTACATTCATGAGCTCCAATTTGGTTACCATTCCCCAATTTATAGGTATCTACTTTATTGCCAATTCTTTGCTGTCACAAAAAGGACATGCTAGAAATATTCTGGAACCGTGGGACATTTTTCTTATTAATAGCCTCCTTGGGGTATAAGTCCAATAATGGAATCTCTGGGTCAAAGGGTGTGGACATTTTCTTTATTTGCATAATTCCAAATTGCCTTTGAAAATGGTTATACTGGTTCACAACTGCATCAACAATGCAACAGTGTGCCTATCTTCTCACAACTCTTCCCGCATTAACAATTCCTATCTTTTGTCATCTTTGATGATTTGCAGGATATGAGGTGAAACCTCAGGGTTGTTTCGATTCTCATTTCTATTATTAGATATCATTTCTGTTATTAATATTATTATTGTCAAGAGATGTGTCCCTAGTGGTGGCATTTTCAGAGACAAGAACAAAAATCACCTTTACTCAACAACATACATTAGTGAACATACATAGTTCAATGACATTCAACATTCAGCATTTATTATGCAACTCCTATGTGCTAAGACCCTTTGCTAGGAGCAGAGGGAGATACAGATTAAATAAGACAAAGCCCCTGCCCTATTAGTGATTTGGAACATTCTTTCATATGGTTATTTAAAGTTTGCAATCTTCTTTTGAGAACTGTTTGTTTATATCATTCAACTATTTATCTATTAAGGAATGAGTTTTAGTTTTATACAGGGTGTCCTAAAAGTCTTGGTGCAGTTTTAAGCTTAAAGCTTTTGGAACATCAGGCATATACCAGGCGTATATACATATATATGTATCTGTTAGCTGTACATATTTCTTGGATACCAAACCCATAGAAACTAGATGTAAAGATTTTTTTTCCTCATCTGTGTTCCCCTTCTTATCCTAAGTGCATTAATTTTGTTTTTTCAGTTTCATGTCATCAGCTATCTGTTTTATCTTCTATAATTGCCTTCAGAATAATGTTTTTAAAGAATAGAACAATACATAAGATTACAAAGGGGACCAATTACAGTTAGTTTCCTATTAGTATGAATGATTTGTTCTTTGAAGTGGTTGAATAATTTTAATTCACACTGCATATTTCTATTGAATATCAATATATAGTTATCAAAATATTTTTATAAAAACAAGTTCACAGACTCCTGGTTTAGAACCCCTGTAAGGAATCACCATAAGATTATAAGACAATTGGCCATCCAGCCTCTGTTTAAAGATTTCCAATAGGAGAAGCCTTTCACCTTTCTGGGCTGTCCATTTCACTTTGGGACAGATCCAATTTTTAGGAATTTTGTTCCTGAAATCAAGCCTCAGTTTGTCATCTTCTACTCATTGCTCCTGATTTAGCAGAGCAAATTGGGTGCCTCATTTTGAAGCAGCTTGGTGTGGGTGGGAAGAGCTCAGGACTTGTAGCCTAGAGAGACCTGGGATCATATCTTTGGCCCAATACTTAATAGTCATTTGACCTTGAGCCTCGGTTTGGCATCTGCACAATGAAGAAGGTAGTTTTTGCAATGCCTGCTACCTAGGATGGCTCTAAGGGAAGCATTTTGTAAACCTTGCAGTGACATGCTTGTAAGTTGTTATTGTTCATGAACATCTTTTAAGAAAAGATCCGCGTTTGATGGGGCTCGGTCGCTTTCCTTGGTATTCATGGATTTTGCAGAGAAGACCACAGCCCGATTTCTTTCAGTAGGTGTTCTTTGGCATCCTTGCCAATGAGTTCCCAAAGAGAATTGGCCACCTCCCTGGGATGTTTATCAATCCCAAAGCTGTGGCTTAGGAGTCTTAAAAGGGGGAGTGTCAAAAGCCATGATCGGGGTACATACTGCATCTTTAGTGTGGGAGGCGGTGTAATCTGACAACAGGCAGGGAGGCCTGAGCTCCAACTCCAGCCCTGACACCACCTGCTCGTGTTGCCAGTTGGGCAGGTTGGTCTGGTCTTTTCCTCTCTCTGAGCTTGTTTTCTTGCCTGTGCAATGAGTGGGTTGGATTAGATCAGGGGTTCTTAACTTTATTTTTTTTTAATTATGCATCCCATTGACAACCTGGAAAAACCTATAGATCCCTTTTCAAAAGTAATGTTTTTATAATACATAAAGTAAAATATGTTAGATTACAAAGGAAGCCAATTATACTGACTTACAGTTATCAAAATCTTTAAAAAAAAAATAGTTCATAAACCCCAGGTTAAGAGCCCTTAGTTAGATAATTTTGATTGTGCCTTTTCACTTAACATTCTATGTTTATTTTTCCTTAAAATTCCTCCTTATGTATAACCTAGTTTCTCTTCGATCTAGCCTAACTTTCCCCTGCCAGACCTAGGCCCGTGGGCTTCTACTAATTTACATAGTTGCCTTAAGGGGTCTAAAAATGGATGTTGGTTTCCCATCATTAGGGTTTTTTTGTTTTTTTTTTTTTACTTTGTTTGTTTCTTTGGTCTAAGACTTTGTTTAATTTAAGAGAAGATTGAAAGAGTCTGACCAGAATTTCCTAAATTAGAAGAATTGAATCACTGGGAAGAACACTGGACTGGTAGTCAAAAAGACTTCTTTTCTTTTCCTATCTCTGACGTTGGTTAGCTCGGTTGTCTTGGGTGAGTTCTGATCTCTCCCTCACCCTCAGTTTCTCCATCTGTAAAACGAGAAGGCTCTTCCAATTCCAACGTTTTCTGCTTTGGGTCCTAAAGGTCCCCCCAGCTCTTCATTTAATTTAAAGTTTCTTTCCACCTCTCCATTCTCTGTTCCACACTCTGAGGATAATTGTAGATGTTACATTCTTTGGTCTAGGTTCTAAGTTCCCTCTTATGAAATTGCTCTAGAAGACAAATATTCTGTTTGGATAAATCCCTGGCAGGCCCCAAAAGGTCTATCTTCCCTTTGTCATTGTCTCTATGTTAATAGAGATTTTTCTTATTCTTCCTAGCAAGGGCAGACTTGAAGGTTTTGAGTGTCAACTGCTACTGTGACTATGATACATTGATTAGCTGTGAGTGGAAGATGAACAAGCCGACCAGCTGCAGTTCTGAATTATGGCTGACATATGAGCGGAGTAACGATAATTCATCGTAAGTGAAACCAGCCAAGTGCAGACAGTTCATTCGACAACATCCAACATTCAGCATTTATTAAGCAACTGCTTTGTGTGGGACTCTTTGCTGGGAGTTAAGAGAGATACTGTTTAAAAATAAGACAAGGCCCCTGCCCTAGGCTAGTGGGGACAAGACAAGTCTATAGATAAAGGTAATACTAATCCAAATAAGACTATGGCATGATCCTCCTGGCTGAGAGTAATGTTCTCCTTCATCACTGGAAGTGGTGTGATACAGTGGACCTAGGTTCAAATCCACCTCTATTAGTTAGCCCTTGTGTGACTCTGGGCAAGTCCTTTCTCTCTGCCTCAGTTTCCTCATTTGGAGTCAACAAACTATGCCTATTTTTCTACAGGCTCAGAGCTAAGGATGGTTTTTATATTTTAAAAAAAGTTTAATTATATTTTAAAATATAAAAACCATTCTTAGTTGAGGGCATGCAAAAACAAATAGGGAGCCAGGTTTGTAGTCTGCGAGCGATCCCTGTGGACCAAATCCATGCAATGAAAGGCCCCTAGATGGTCCCTGAAGGCCCATTCATCACTAGATCTATGACCCAAGGATAATAACAACTGAGACTTAAATAATGCTTTAAACTTCACAAAGCCTTGAGCTGTCCTCCATGCCATGTCTGCCCCCAGTCCTCCACTTCTCCGTGAGCTCCAGTTTACATGATGCACATTCTTTCCCTGCTTAGCCTGCCCCCTCTGTTTTGCATTATGCAGAATGATGTAGCTTTGTACAAACTTGGCTCTGAGTGCTTTCCCATATGTTCTTCCTGACTTTGGATATTTAGTCCTGGGTTACTCCCACCATATGAAGCCTGTGCTGGTCCACAGGAGAGGAGGGAAGGGCAGACAGCACAACCTCAGAACAGCTGCAGACCCTCAGTCAGATGATTAGCAGAGAGAAACAGAAAGAGAGAAACACAGAATCTCAGAGCTGTCAGGGGTCTCAGAAGCCACTTAATCTAATCCATACCTGAATAAGAATTCCCTTTATGAGGGGGGATCATCTTCCTTTTGAAACGGCTCAATTCACTTTTGGACAGCGATTTGGGATGTGGGTGAGAGATGAGGGAAGCATTGATTAAGTATTTAATGTGTGTCAAGCATTATGCTAAGGACTGGGAATGGTCCCTACCTTTAAGGAGCTAACATTCCAATAGGGGAAAGAGAACACATAAAGAGTAAACTACACAGTGGAATGGGGAGAGAGAAGGGGAAATGAATTAGGGGCCCAAGGGTGGTTTTAGGGGCAAAGTTCCAGTGAGAGGGGAAAGAATGGTGGATCAGGATGATGCCAGAGGGAAGTCATGGTTTATAAATGGTGGCCAGAAGTGAGGTAGAGGCCTAGTTTCAGGAAAGAGAAGCCAAAAGCTCTCCTTTCCAAGCCCAATGTGGTTCCCGGGGGCCAAGTCCAAGATGGGGCTAGGGGTAAGGATGGACTAATGAGGGTGATGGCTAGAGGGAGGATAGGTAGTATGATTTGAAAATGGTGGCCAGGGATGCTCTAATCCTTAGGGAGGCTTTCCATGCATGCAGCCTAAATATGCCTCTTTGCATCTTCCCTCTATTGCTCCTACTTCTGCCCTTTGGGACCTGGAAGAAACCCTTTAATCCCTTCCCACCTAAGAACCCTTTAAATATGTGACAATAACTGTCATGTCTCCCCTTAGATTGTTTAACAGATGCTCAAATGGCATGATCTTTTTTGTTGTTGTAATTTATCAAATACAAATTTTTTAATGGATTGTTGATTTTTTAAAAAGTCGGTTCAGTTGTTTTTTCAGCCATGTCTGACTCTTTGTGACCCCATTTGGGGCTTTCTTGACAGAGATAGTGGAGTCTCTGCCATTTTGAAACATCCATTTGCCAATAGATTTCTACCCCATAAAATCCCCCAGCCTCCCTTATGATAAAAGAAAAAGAGTTAAACAAAACCAGCTGACACAGCTACTCCATCGGACAGTGTGTGAAAGAGCATACAGCATGACCTTTAGGCCATTGACCATCCTGGTCACCCTCTCCTGGATGCTCTCCAGCTTATCAGCATCCTCCAGGGCCCAGAAATGAACCTACTTCGGATGATGTCTGAGGGCAGACTCAGTGGAACTCTCACCTCCCTGGTCCTGGATGCTCTGCCTCTCTTAATGGAGCTTAAGATGGTAGGAGTGTTTGTAGCTACTTTATTACATAGTTTTTTCATATTGAGTTTGCTATCTAGTAGGAGATGGGACGACAACAACAACAATAATAACAATTCATATTTCTGTAGTGCTTTAAAGCTTACAAAATACTTTTCTTACAACAGTCCTATCAGGTAATAGAAGTAGTATTCCCATTTTTAGGACAGCCAGGATAGCTTAGGTGCAGTGGATAGAATGCCCAGGCCTAGAGTTCAGATGGCCTCAGACACTTACTAGCTGTGTGACCCTGGGTGAGTCACTTAACCCTGTTTGCCTCAGTTTCCTCATCTGTAGAATGAGTTGGAGAAGGAAATAGCAAACTATTCCAGTATTTTTACCAAGAAAACCTAAAATGGGGTCACAAAGAGTCGGATAAGACTCAGCAACAACAACATTCCCATTTTTAGATGATCATTGTGTGTCAGGCACATAGTAATAGATGTAAACTGAGTAAAGTATACTCATAGATTCAAAGACTAAAAGTGACTCGATGAAGGTCATAGGATTTAGAGCTAGTGGGAAGCATAGAACCATAGCTATAGAGTTGGGAGGGACTTTATATACCATCTAATCCAACCCCCGCATTTTCTAGAGAGGCGAACATTTCCCACGGTCACCCAAGCAGTCAAGCGTCTGAGGTCTGAGGGAACACAAGTCAGTTCAACACAGTCTTTATTAAATGCCTACGTTGTTTTCCATGAAGCTATAGAGTGTTAGAGTCAGAACTAAAACCCAAGTGTTTTGACTCCATGACTGTCTCTGGCAACATCACCGTGACATGCACTGGTCCAATGCCTGCCAACAGCTCTCCAACCTTATTTCATCCTACTCCCTTCCATGTAGCTTACGTTACAGGCAAACTGGACCACCCTCTTTTTCTCATTCTCATCCAGTCCTTTCTGGACTCTTTGTCTTTGTTCACACCAACCTCATTCTTGGAATATGCTTTCTTTACTCCATTGCTGCTTTTTAAAGTCCCTCCCTTCCTTCAAGACCCAAAACAGATACTGCCTGCTCT